ATGGATCCGTATTTGATGGAATCGAGGCATTTTGTATGTTTTTTTTTAAATCGTTTTGCGTATCACGTCGATATGCAGACATGGTTCCAAACTTCGGTCGGTCATAACAGAGTTGTTTTTGGCAACGTGCAAGATCGTGGACATCATTATTTACGACAATTGTAACCATCTTTTGGAAACTCTCCAACAGCCATGACTTGCTCCAGATAAGCTTCAAGAATTTTTTAATGTTATTCAAACTAAGGGCGCACCGCTCAACAACTGTTGGGGTGGGGGGATTCATAGATGGGACCGTTCGACCCATTTGTAGACCTGTACAGTCAGTCGCAAAGAATTATGTAAAATGGACATAAAAGAATTCATGGAAATAAATTTCAGTCTGTTGTCGCTCCGAATGGATTAATCGCAAACCTTGGCTCTTCGAATTATATTTGTAGCTAAAAATATTTGAATTGAGCATCTCTTTTACTAAATCATTGTCCATTTCTTCATCCCATCTAAATAGAAAAAAATAAATTTAAATTCATTGAAAATTATATTATAAATGGCATTTGTTGAAAGTTTACTCAAGAATAAAGTTCCATTATTGCATTAATCAACATGACGTTACATGCATTTGATGAGAGGGGCTTAGTATTTGAGGTCATCATAATAGTACTCATTTTTAAGAGATACATTAAGTCCTCATTTTATTAGTAGAAAAAAAAGAAATAAAAAATTAAGATGTTTTTTATGGTGCAAAGTAAAAAAACTTTAATAGGTTTGAGTTAAATATTGGCAGTGGTATTGAAGGAATATATAATATTTGACATATCACTAATACCTTTTGATCTTTTTTGTTGCTGATTCTTGATCTGCTGATGTGGTCAATGGTGCTACTGAATTAATAAAATTATACATTGATTGAAATATTATTTGTATTTATTATTTTATATTATTAAATATTATTATTGTTTATTATTATTTAATATTATTATTATTATTAACAGTGTATTTGTTGTTATTATTATTATTATTAATATTTGGTTACTTTATTATTTTTGTTTATTATTATTGATATTATGAATTTTTACTATTAATATTACTATTATCTATTTGGGTTTATTACAAACAAATAGTTTTGCCTGCCATGGTGACCGTTGGAAAACTTACCAGTACAAATCAGCTTATCTTGAAAACCTACAACAATGGGTATTGCTCCTGGTGTTTGTTGTCCATCTGAAACAGATACAGTAAGCGTGTACAAAACTGGTCAAAAAGATAGACTCAAAATGTGTGTTGTAAAATTGCATGATGGTATTACAGTATTAACAAAAAAAAGAGAAAGAAAAAGAAATCCCTACCCAAAACACACACCCAAAAAATGAACATACCTAGGCCTCAGGCCTCTATAAAATATCTAGACCTAAATAAAACAGCACATTACTAAAATCCAATTTAACAAAAAAGTAGTAATATAGGCCTTAACTTACATGCAAAAAGCTGTTGGATAGAGTTGATTCCGGAACTTGCAGTTGTTGTGGGTAGAGTACTATTGAACGTTAATAATCTGAAAAAGTAAAATCAATGAATATTTACTAACTTAGGTACAGTATGTAATTTATTTTTTAGGCCCTAGCCTAGCCTTAGGCCATGCCTAATTATAGGAATAATAAATAGCCCGATGCATCTGCTTTTTCGAATCTAATTTATTTTTATATTTTTTCTTCAATCCATATATTCTTGTAGGGCATTATGCCTTTATGGTAGTAGTACAGTAGTAGTAGTAGTATGTAGGATACTAGGCCTAGACCTTCATAGGCCTAATATAGACCTAGCCTAGGCCTATACTACTAGGCCTATAGGCTAGGCCTTTATATAGGCCTACACTATATTAATTAGGCCTAGGCCTATGGGTGGGCGTTCGCAAAGTTTAGATATGGATATTGATCGAAGCCTTACGTTATTTTTACTCTATGAAAGCAAACAAAAATAAAAGTGATAGGCCTACCTATACCATTACCATTATCAATCATTGAAACAAAAGTAAGCATATTCATATATAACGTTTAAACTTACAATTTTCTAGCCATATTTTCTTGGTGAACAACAGAGCCCAGCATTCAAGCTCGCGAATATCTTGAAAACGAATCTAGTGTTGACCTGGTGTTGACATGATCTCTTATACACATCTAGATGTGTATAAGAGACAGGGTTTATACTGTGTAGGCCTAGGCCTAGCTAGGCACGTCCTCTACGAATGAACTCGACGAAACCCAAGCATTATAAATATAATTACGCATGCGCATATGCCTTACAATAACGTCATACCGTTCCAAGTAACTCGTCGTCGCAGATCTAAAACTCGCTATTATGACACCTAAAGATCATTAAAAAAAATAGACCCCAAAAAATAACGCCTCCTAATGGCTACCATCTTGAAATCCAATGCCGGTATGGCCGCCAAAATATTTGATTTTAGCCAATATATTCATATCTACAGCACATGTCATTGCCAATTGAAGATCATTACCCATGTTTTCAATATCAGGGAGTGTCATGCAATCATCAGAAATTATGTCAGATGGCGCCACCATATTGGATTTGAAGATAACCGCCAAATTAATGCTATTTTTGTCAATATTCACATCTATAGTACCTAGCACTGTTAATCAAAGACCATTGCCCATGTTTTCGATATCAGGGACTATCATGCAGCCATCAGAAATTATGTCAGAAGACCACCATATTAAATTTCAAAATGGCCGCCATCTTGAAATTTAACATGGCCGCCAAAATAATTAATTTTAGCCTTTGTATTCATGTTTACAGCACATATTACTCCAACTGAAGATCATTACCCATGTTTTCAATATCAGGGAGTGTCATGCAATCATCAGAAATTATGTCAGATGGCGCTACCATATTGGATTTCAAGATGGCCGCCAAATTAATGATATTTTTGTCAATATTCACATCTACAGTACCTAGCACTGTTAATCAAAGACCATTGCCCATGTTTTCGATATCAGGGACTATCATGCAGCCATCAGAAATTATGTCAGAAGACCACCATATTAAATTTCAAAATGGCCGCCCTCTTGAAATTTAACATGGCCGCCAAAATAATTAATTTTAGCCTATGAATTCATGTTTACAGCACATATCACTCCAACTGAAGATCATTACCCATGTTTTCAATATCAGGGAGTGTCATGCAATTAGCATAAATTATGTCAGATGACGCCGCCATATTGGATTTCAAGATGGCCGCAATATTATTTGCTATTTTGGTCAATATATCTACAGCACCTAGCACAGTTAATCAAAGACCGTTACCCATGTTTTCGATATCAAGGACTATCATGCAGCCATCAGAAATTATGTCAGAATGCCACCATTGAATTTCAAGATTGCTGCCATACTAGATTTCAAGATGGCTGCCAAATTAATTATTGATAATGTTGTAAATATTGTCATATCTGCAACACCTAGCACTGTCAAAGATAGCGCTGTCAAAGATCTCTACTCGTGTTTTTGATATCCGGGAGTATCATGCAGATACCAGAAATTATGTAGGCGCCATATTGAATTTCAAGATGGCTGCCATATTGGATATCAAGATATGGCAGCCAAAATTTTTTTTTTTCCATATTTACATATGTACCAGCACTGTGAATCAAGATTGTGTATATGTATAATTAGGGATATCATGCAATCATCAAACATCTCATAATCATAGTGAGACCAGCCTATGGCAGTAAAGTAACACCATTTAGAAAGAAGACCGACAACTGCCACGTTGAATTTCAGAATGGTTGCCAATAAAGAAAGGTACGTGAAAAAAGAAATGGAAATTTAAAAAATTAATAGAAAACAGTTAATGAATAACAAATTAGTAATCAATCAAAAGTAATGAAAATAAAAAAATTAGTAAATAACTGCTTTGTATGGTATGAAAGCAAGTGCAGAGGGAGAGAGATAGATGCAGATATTTAACATCGTTTATATTAAAGCTAGTTTTAGCATATATGAAATTATGTAAACATAAATCAAATATTCAAATTAATGGTGTGAAGACACTAATATCGAATAGACCTCATGTCTATGAGATGGCTAATTATCATTTTCAAATGATATATAAACATATATAAAGATTGAAAGGGAATGAAACGGAAAAGACAATCAAAGAAAGGAAAATAAAAAACAGAAAGAAAAAGAAAAAACTGGAAAGGGAAAAGAAATTTTAAAAAAATAGAAAATGAATATAATTGAGAAAGTGAAAAGAAATAAAAGAAACATCAAGATAAATTAAGAAAAGTATATAGATAACTTTAGCATAAATGAAATTATGTAGACATAAATTAAATATCACATTCAAGTAATGGTATGAAGGCAATAATATCAAAGACTTCTAAATATCATTTTCAAATA